GACAATGGTGCAGCAAATATTGGTTATTAGTATTACTGGATAAGCATAATAACGTAGAAAAAGAATGCAGCTTTGAAGTCAAATAAACTTAAGTTTAAATCCCAAACTTCTGATATATAAATAAAATTCCTTTAACTTCTCCAACTCTTGAGTTTCCTTATTTCTAAGGTGAAAAATATATACCTCAGTAACCTTTAGGGAAGAATTTTAAAAGATTGCAATTATATTTATTTTGCTTTTGGTTTAGTTTAGTTTGGTTTTGCTTTTATAGAGCATAGTGATCAAGGTCTTTGCATTCCAAGAGTTCAGGGCTGATTATTTTGTCTAACTCTTATAAACAGGCTAGTATCTGTCAATTTTCTTAATGCACTGAGCCTCTATTTTTTTCTAAGAAAAAGTATACCTATATCAAAAGATAATTATGAGGATTAGTAAGATAATAATGTACATAAGGTACTTGGCACAATGCCTGACACTTAATTCTTAAAACTGTGATGCTGATGAGCTCATTGTCACTCATGCTGTCATGCATGCAGTGCAGGAGGAGAGACGGGCACAGAACTGATACCTCTGAAAGCAATGGGGTATGTCTTAGTGCTATAAAATGTGGTCCCTGGTCTTGGGAAGGAAACCCCCGTTTGGGTGTCCAGGGTGGCAGGTCCTGGGAAGCCAGGATTGGAACCAGACACTGAGCACCAAGGCCAGGTAAACAAGAGGCACCAGTGGTCACCAAGTGTTACCTCCAGTGCCACAGCATCTGGGCCTTGACAAAAGGAAGCTTCCAGCAAGAGCAAAATAAGTGGCTCCGTCACTACTCAGAATAAGCACTATGTTCATCTGGGTATGAGTCAAAACCAGAAGCGGGATGAAACTCCGGCAGATTGGAACCTCGCAACACAACTGAGATCTCAGGCTGAGTCCACCACTAACTAGCCATGTGAATTCTTGCAAAAACGGGGGCCCTCCAGAATGATATTTTCCCCATCTGTTAAATAATATGTTAAGACCAGATGGTAACTAAAATCTCCTATTCAACAGTAAATAAGATTTGCAAACAAGAAGAATCACTTTAAGTAACTCCACCAGATCAAGGTCGTTCATTCTTCTCAGAACTCAAAGGGAAGTGTTTCTTATTTTGTATCAAGAGTTAAGCTGAGACTCTGTTAATGAGCCTCTCAGCAAAGGTGGGAGTGAGGGGAATGAATGCCAGTGCCCAGAGCATCCAGTCAAAATCATATTTCTTCCTGGGTGTGAGGCCTCAGAGATAAGGCCACGAGGCAAGGCAAATATACAATCAAGAACCCAGATCTGGCCGGCCCGGTGGTGCACTGGATAGTGCGCCGCTTGGGAAGCGCGGCGGCGCTCCTGCCCGAGGGTTCAGATCCCACATACAGACCGGTTCCCGCTCACTGGCTGAGCGAGGCGTGGGAGCAACACCGAGGGTTGCGGTCCCGTTGCCGGTCCCTGGTCCGGTACGGGGGCAACACTGAGGGTTGCGATCCGTTGCCGGACACGGAAAAAAGACAAAAAAAAAAGAACCCAGATCTGAATCCAATCACCAAGCCAGGGGGAAAAAACAGAGGTGGGAGGGAGAGCCAAGACAGGAGGGCTGCAGGACCTAAAGGAAGGACCCAGTCAGGCTCAGAAGGAGGAGGGAAGGACAGTGAGACAGGTCACCCACAGACCAGAGCCCTGGGGCATCTAACACATGATGTTGTCTTCCACCTAAGTCTTATTTGTGAAACCAGGCCCTTCACTGACTGACTTGACGGGTTATTTTCTCTTTTCCCATTCTGCCTAAAATAGGAACTCCAGACTTTGCTTTACTTTCTTTGATTGTTGTGCTGTTCTCTAGCTGTGTACATATGCTTTGATTTTCCCAAGCAGAACATTGGCTTCTTGAAGGTAGGCCCCCACAAATCTACTTCTCTTGCTTTCCATTATTGCGACTTGAACTGATAACGAACTAATAGTTAAACATCTTTTTGCACAGAAATGTTGGACACGGGTGGCCCCGAATATTACCCGTCCGTGATGGCAGTCTCTCTTGGGGCATTGTGAGCATCCAAGAGTTCCTGGGTTGATGCAGGCTCCAGGGACACGTGTACCAGCATCACATGTGGCATCAGTTGATGGTGGAAACTGACATACCGAACTGTGGGCTTCCTGGTCATTTGGACTTGAGAATGGCTACAGGGAGAAAACATTGGGAAAACAGAAAATTGAGTGGGTTGAGTTTCTTTCTCAAGTAAAATTATTCTAACAAATATAATCTATAGTTTAACATAATTTATATTTTATCCTATTGATCCAAATAGCACTTGATGAAAAAAAAAAGTTTTCCGGGCCGGCCCGGTGGCGCACTGGATAGTGCGCCGCTTGGGAAGCGCGGCGGCGCTCCCGTCTGAGGGTTCGGATCCCACATACAGACCGGTTCCCGCTCACTGGCTGAGCGAGGCACGGGAGCAACACCGAGGCTTCCGATCCCGTTGCCGGTCCCCGGTCCGGTACGGGGGCAACACTGAGGGTTGCGATCC